AGGGATAGAAGACTGAGTTCTCTTCTGTTCTCTTGGAGCTGGGAATGATRATGGTTTGCCCAGATGGTGAGATTTGTTGTTTTGGCAATGGCTGGAGCACACTTGAGTGATCATCATACAGATAATGCCTGACTTTGAGCTTCTGTGAGGAGAAGCACAGAGAGTGAATGGACGAAGAAAAGACATAAGGAATAAGAACTATGGAGTCCTATGAACAGAGCAGAGGTGAACAATGGCAGATTTTCAACTCAGAGTACAATGTGGAGTGCTCAGAAAAAAGAGCCAAGCTGGAGTCACAGAAACTGTGTAGGTAAGATAGCAAGGAAGTGCTGAAAGATGAAAGCTCATTTGTGCCCAAGGCAGCCAAATGATCAGAGACAGTAAAGATGGATTAGGATCAGAGCTTTGCCAGAGGAGGTTTTTTTATTATTATTTTTATTACTAAGCTTTTATTGAGAGCTGTTTTGGTTGAACATGGTGCAGAAGCCAGACCAGAATGATGCCTCCAATGATGCTGAGGGAACGGGTCTTTCAGAGAAGATGCCTGAGTTTTCATCAGGAGCCCAAGCAGCCAGCACAATCAATGACTCTTGGGGATGTTCAGTAATCAGCTGGACAAGGATCTGAGCAACATGATCTGACTATGAAGTTAGCCCTGCACTCAGATCATGCTGGAGACCTTCAGAGACCACTTCCAACCTGAATCACTCAACAGGTTGTTGTTTTAAGTAACAYTGAGGGTGGCAGCAGTTGGAGCAAAATGCACAGTGATTTGTGGTGTTTTGTTACGTGAGAAAGGCTACAGGTGTGAGACTGCTGCAGATAAGGTTTCATAGTAAAAGACCCCCCTCATATTAGTCAATGATCCTTAAGATCTTTTTAATTCTTCCTACACCAAACTGCAGTTTTGTCCTAATACTTGAATTCTGTGACCAAAGTTTATTGAAACTGCCTTTAAAAATCTATTTACATTGCTTATGAGCAAACTCCTGTTTTTCCTTGTCCTGTTGAAAAGCATTCACTTATTTAACTGGTGTAATATAGTTTTACCCTTTGTACCCTTGTACAGTTTTACCCTTTGTTWACCCTGAGAGTCCATGTAGGATATAGGATATGGAAGATGGAACACACCTATACATTGGGATATTGCCTCCTTTCATTCAGTTTAACCCTCAGGTACCTGTGATTGATTTATTTTCCTCCTTCATTTCCTTTCAGAAAATAGAAAATGGGGAATAACTGTGCTTATGTAGTATTTAAAGCTGCTTGAGATTTGCAGTGGAAAAGGGCTGTGTGAAACATAGGAACGTTCTAAACATTTGACTATTCTGCTCTTTTGTTTCTTTTTTGTGTGTGGGATGGAGAGTACTATGTAAATGGATAAATACTTATACACTTATGGCATGTGTTTTCAAACTGGGAACATACATATCTGGAAAACCTTCTAGTTTCATATTTTACCCTTGCAAAATGTTTTCTAAAGCAACAGCATTTATTATTTAACTGTACTGCAAAAATATGGAATGCGCCTAARTGATTTTGGACAAATGTGCACATCCTCAGGGAAGATACAATGGACTCTGCATTAGAATTTRAAGTATTCTTTGTAGTCCTTAATCCTGCTCTCCATCCTCCAAACCCATTAAGAACAAGAGCTTCTAAACCAAGTCAGTAACTTTTATGGTATGGTTCTTCAGGTGCACCTAGTAGTCTGTGTATCTAGCTTCTGGGTTTTTTACTGGTTTTTTTTACATTGCTCTAAACTTTGATGCTGCTGTTTGTTTAAGCTCCATCTTAAGGAATACAACAATTTTTTCTCTTCTGAGCCCTGGTAGCACAGTAGCATGCATAGGTTGTTTGTCTTGGTGTTCCTGTCTGATCTGCACACACATACAGAACAATTCATGTTGAAGTGCAGGAAAGACCTATCCAGCTGTTCATTGGCCTCCTTTTCTCCACAGAATGTTTCCTTACATGCTAGGGGTTTGTCAGGCTTGTGGCTTGTTGTGGCTCCATGCTTTAAAAGTGTGACTGAAGATGAATAAATACAATGTCAGTAGCATAGTTTTAATTTTTGTTTGCTGGTAAATGTCTGTTGTAAAGAACGAGACTGTTCAGTTTGAAGACCAGTCTTTGTTTCTGAACTACAGTAAGGCTATGGASGATTRRTTTTTGGCTGGCAACAAGRAAAATGTAAATGCCTTAAGGGTKAACATTAAACTTTAAWCTGGTTCTCSTATCTTGAAAGCTTTCACTAGTCCTGGSCTARGCTTAAACTCCCAAATCTGACAATGTACAAGTGCTGAGGACAGTCTGGTTGCCTTACTGTGACATCAAAGCAATTCTTGAATGGCTGAGGTGAAGAGCTTTTGCAGAGTCATCAAAGACTCTTAAATTTTCCCCAATCCCGACATTAACTCTTTCAGTGAGAGATGTCATTGGCAAAGGGCATAAKGCAGCAGAAAGGCCCTAGAGATGGAGGGTTGTCTAGTTTATGTAAAACATGATCATCTGATAAATTCATCACTAAAATTTTCACTTAAAAATTCTTTGGTTCTGTTTTTCCTGAGCATATAGGAAAGAGAGGARGTGCTTTCTTTCTGCCTTRTTTGAAAATATATCCAGAACACTTKGTAAGACTTGTATGTGGCTAATAGTTTCTTTATTCTCATCTTAAGAAGTAGTTTTCAGAACTTCAGCCTCACTGTCTCCTAACATCTAAGRTATTTTTGCTTTTGATCACATAGCCACATATTATTCATGTACTTTCTTTGTCTTGTATACATTCTATACCCTCCAAGCATATCTTTAGCATATTCTGTAGTCTTGTTCTTTGATAAAAGCGAGGTACTTTTTTGACTAATTGAAAGTCAGGGATTTTGCTTTGAATCTGCAATACAGTTTGCAATGCTATATATCCAGCTCATGAAAGAGGATATTGCTTCTGGCTGAAAACAGAAAGTAAGTTCTTTGGAGAATACTTCCTGGCTTTGTTGTTTTTTTGGGTTTTTTTGGTTTTTTTTGTTTGTTTGTTTGTTTTTTTTGTTTGGTTTTTTTTATTGGCACTGGTGGTAAACAAAAATTCATATTATTGCTTTAGGTGTAGAACTTTTTATAGAGTTCTATTTGTTCTTAATCCAAATGCAAAATTTGCATCCTGAGAAAATGTAAATTGGACTAAAGCTTTTGCAGTGGAAGAAAAGGTCACTTTGCTGTGTCATGTAGGAAGAACTGTGTCCTAACTTGCTGAGATATTTTTTTTTTGGTTGCAGGTTTTTTTGTTGGGTTTTTCTTTTTTATTTTTGTTATCATAGGCAACTGCATGGAGATTTTGATGGTGACATTACTTGGCAAACAATTTGGAATCAGCTCAGCAAGTGACATCACACCCCCTTAAGGTTTTCCACATAAAATACGTCCTCCAAAGAAAAAAAGAACCAAAAATTGAGACTTAATCTGAAATCTATTATTAWATCCTCTAAGGTCTCTTTAAGCACCTCAGTATTCCCCCTTTTCCCATCATTTTCCAGGCAGCTTGACTAAATGTAGCAGACAATAGTGGAAAATGCTTTACAGTGTTCTTGAGAATGTGAACAGAAGTGGGGCAGAGGGGGATGGATATGGCAGAGGGGGAGGGATATGGCAGAGGGGCAGGAAAGAATGCTTTAATAATCCCATGTCTATACTATTTAAAAATATGTAAATTACTACTCCAATGCTTTTCTGCTGTGCAGCTTTTCACTCAGTCTCACATGTCTGATGTAACATTTTGCCACTCTTAGCAAGTGMGTTGGGTAGCTCTGCCTCTGACAGATGAGTATGTCAGATTTTGAGAAGAGGAGAGARATGAAAACCTCTCTTGATCTCAGGGTTTGGTTCCTGATTGATGATGATTCCTARTATGTGCTTTTGTGTGTGTGCCTATGCTTGCCTGCATCTGTACACATTTTTCTGAGCAGCAAACACACATTTTTTTCCCCCAACCTCTGTAGCAGGGAGCCATAAATGCACTGTGTGCTCGGTGTGTGCTGCCTTTCATAGATGTGCAAGAGAGAGGTGCAGCACAGTGGGTGAACGCTGCCAAAGTACGTAGGACATGATGTTACACAGGCCAAGCAACGGAAGAATTATCTATGCATAATGTGAGTTTAGAATAGGCTTGACGTTCTCACACCCAAACATTTCCATCTGTTCCTAAGCAAAAGGAAACTGAGACAATATTCTCCTRTCTTCTGGGCTAGCTATAGAGGGAATAGGAAATGTACTTTGATAATTTTTTTTCCTTAGGATGGTTTCAGTTTTATTGCAAATTCAGAGAAGTCACAATATAAAGTGGCTTTTTTCAAAGACAGTTAACGACATTAAATTCCTAATTCTTCTGAGAATTTGTATTGAAACTGTAACACTGCATTAACAAGCTGTGGCACCTTTAGGTTACCCTTAAAACATAAAGCTGGATTTATGGCTTTTGTGCCAACSCTGATATGATAACTTTGTCATTCTTACTTTCAAAGTTTTCTGGAAATTATCCTCTGTCTTTGCTTTCTCTCTCTGTATTTCTATGTTCTGTCCAAATATCTACTTTTTCTTGTGTCTTTTTCATCTGCCATGAAAGGCTGCATGCCTGATTACAAATACTGTTTCTTACATACTGTAGTGCTCACCAAGCATCTAAAACACACTGAAAGGTTCACCTGCTTCCTGTTGGTTATAACTTCATATATCTGCATACTTCTCTGTCTTCTTTGTAGTATGACATCCTTGGCATCCTGCAGCAGTGCTGAGGACTCTGCCAACTGTTTGACCTACCTCAGTGGCTGGTGGAGATGTAGACGTATTATTTGTTAGAAGGCATTAGTTATGTTTTCACAGCTGAACTCTCAAAATTCAGTACTGCAAACATTTCCATTTTTTAGTGGAGGCAAAATAAGAAGGCAGRCAGATCCTTAGATGTAACATTAAATTGTACATACTTCATAATACTATGGTAAGAGGTAACCTTACCTTTCACATTCTTGTTCCAGCAAGTTTGTAAACTCATCACTTTTTTCCATGTATTTGGTGTGCTTCCTCTTCTCTTCCTCTAGTTCATGCAGTGTCTGTCTGTGTGCTTTTTCTACCATTAGAAGTTGTTCCAGCATTCTTCTGTGAACTTCCTTCTGTTTCTCTACAACTTTATCCAGCTACAAAAAAAAGCAAAAACTCCTGAAGTATTTTGAAACTTTTACTTTCTCAGGCTTTCATTAATGAAAGAATTTTAAGAGCAGCTTAATAATACTATAATAATAGCCTAGTAGCCAGGTCTACTGGTATCGGTGTGGAAAAGGTTAATTCTGTCAGTCTAATATGAAAAAGCAGCAAATATGAAAAATAAGGTGCTGGTTCTCAGGATCCTCAGTCACTTTCCTTTCCTCCTCCTGCCATGACTGATCCTCAACAGCTACTAATTAACAGTTACTGTTCCCAGGGTTGTACTTTTCTCATTGATCATTGTGGTAGAGAACCAGATGTCTTGGCAGGAGAARCATCGTCCAGGGCTTCACACAGTGGATGACTGACTTTTGGTTGAATAGAAATAGCTGCCTCACTTGTAGCTGCAGAGAAAATAAGAGCATTAAATTGTTTTTATAAGGTAGAGGTAGGTCAAAAAGCAGTTTTCTGGTTTCACTGTAAATGCATGGTAGTGCCAAGAGTGCAGAACAGTACTGTCTCTTGTGCTTATTCTGAGCGTGGCGCTGGGTTTCTGGAATAAGTAAGTGCTAAATTTTTTAATAGTTAGAAGTATTTTTTTTTAAATGGTGGCATTTCCTGTTATGTTCCTCAAATTGCACGTGTTGTTGAGGTCTTTGTCTCTCAGATGGCATCTTTATAGCACACTTTGAGCATAAAATTCTCTTCCTCAAGGATTTCTGCTTAACATCCAATCATAGAATCATTAAGGTTGGAAAAGACCTCCAAGATCATTGAGTCAAAYTTTTTACTGAACACCATCATGCTGACTAAACCATAGCACTAAGTGTCATGCCCAGTCATTTCTTGAACATTTTCAGGGGTGGTGACTTCACCACCTCCCTGGGCACTCCATTCCAATTCTTGACCACCCTTTCAGTGAAAAATTTTCAATTTTTCTAAATATTATTATGTAGTGATATTTTAATTTGATTAATCCATTTCAGGTTTTGACAATCATTTTTAGTTTTTTCTAAACACAGAGGTTTTGGCATAACTTCTCACTGCACTTCTGCTGTTGAACAAATTAATTTCCACAAACTTAGAAAAAGAAAACTGTGATTCTGAGGATTCTTTTATAACTTTGACTGAGTTATGCAAGTGTGTGAAACCATGAAGGTTTTCCTCCTTAGGCATTACTGATCTAGAAGTTTCAGGAAGGATCACTGGAGGCCGTCAAAAGATCAATGAAGAGCTTGTATTTGTGGGCAGCTTTGTTCCCCTTCAGAGACTGCCTCCCTCATCAGGTCAACTTAGGAATCCTTCTGTCCTTTTTGAAAAAGAGAAATTTTGAGCTCACAGCCCAGTGCCTCCTTTTAACCACAGTCTATTCTAGTAGGTCAATCTGATTGTAATGTTTCACTCTATTAAGAGGAAAGAATTCACAAATGGGCAGTGTGGGAAGCAAAGCYGGTTCTAGTTCTCTGATGTTTCCCCCACAAGGAATTCTGTGTGCCACAAGAAACACTTGGSGTTTCAGATTCTTAGGGCCACTGCTTATTTTGGACAATTTAATTCCAGGGAGTATGATTCTTTTTCTAAGTTTGTGGAAATTATTTTGTTCAACAGCAGAAGTGCAGTGAGAAGTTATGCCAATTATCTTTCCCTGATCTTGATTCACAGTTTGGCCAATAGAAATGATGACAGGGAGAGCTGGAATGCCTAAACATTAGTTTCTTGAATGAGTGAGGATATCATCAATTTTTGCATATGTTTCCAAGTCTCTCCCTGCTTATCTCTGCTTCTTTTAAAGCTATATGTATTTTCTTAGGTTTCTCCTAAATAATTGTTAACTTTTTGTTGACACTGTTGTGARTAAAGGAAAAGGAGCTATTGACAAGGCTTTGAAGATGGTTTGAGTCTAAAATATTCCATSAAAAATGTGGACCATTTTTCAAATTTCCTGCACTTTGTACTTCTGGCATTAGAGAGTGTCTTTTCTGTTGTAACATAGCTGAGCTTGTTTCCTGCATGATCAATAATACGAAGAAACCTGTAATTACTTGTTTTGGTGCTGTTTTGTGGTGCTCTTACAAGCAGATTATTACTGGTTTTTGTCCTGTGCTTTACACCAGCAAGGTGACTGCTTTCTGGAATCGTAATCCTGAAGCAGAACCTCTCCTGGAAAAATATTTCTTACCTAAACCCTTGCATATGCAATCTCTCTTAGTAAGCAAGAGTTGCCTTTTACAGTAATCTTTTGGCTGTGCTTTCTATATCTTTTAAAGCMGTTGAAAATTGGATTGCCTTAAAAGGTCAGGTTGAAGAAAACTGTCCATTTTAATTTCTTCACAATCTCRCTTCTTTTACCAGAAGTAGAAATTAAAAAAAGTGAAGTCTTTTGTTTAGCTTCTAAGTTAGCAGAAAGATGTTTTATCAACCTGCCCCCCACCCAAGATTTCGGAGGGGTTTCTGGAACAGCTGTTGCAGATTCATGAAGTGCCAACACCTATTTCTGATTCTCGTCTTTCTAAAGGTCATGCTGGCAAGTGATTATACACTGYTCTCAGAAATCAACCTGCCTCCTGATTTTTGACAAAGTTCTCATGAGTGCTGCTTGCAGTTATGGGCTCTGTCTTGCTTAAATTGATATGAGCTGGGCATCAGCTTTGTGTGTGAGTGCCTGCTGTCTTGGTCCTCATTGTGAGGTCAAGTGGGATGAAGGCAAAGCTGTGAACTTCCAGTTTCTTTTGGCAGGCAGTCTGCATGGATGGGGTTAAGAAAGTAAAGRTATTYGTTTATGTGTATTGGATGGCCACTTTGAAAGTRTATGTAAAAGTCTGAGGGGATGTGTAAATTGCTGTCATAAGAAAGTGCTGACATTTCTGGCTACAAGCTGATCMTAAATCAAACGATCCTGGTTCTGAACATGTAAATGCTTGATTGAGATGAGGGTTAGTCATCAGCCAAGCAACATTACCAAGTGTAAAATAGTCCTGCTTCTGCAGTGTTTGGTGTAAACTCTGTGCCAGCAGGGTTTTATAAGTTCTGTATATTTGGTTTGCTATAGAGTATTTGTTGAATGGCTACAAGAGATAATTTGAAGCAATAATCCAAGCAGCATGTACGCAAGGAGAAAAGGTAGTAATTCCAGGGTTTTGTTTTGCAGTTCTCTGTGCCTTTGACTTCACAGTAGTACTTTTGTCATTGTTGAGATTAGAACAGTTTGGATTACAAACTGGTCTTTGGGGATGGGTGAGGTGTCTCAAGGCAGGGAGGTGTAACAAAGAATTTTAAATGAGAAAAAGAACAGTAGTGACCTGGGGAGACTTGCCACATTTAGGGTAAGAGAAAAGTAAATAAACTGCTGCATTAAAGCGATTTGCATGCTGTAGTTTTCTCCTGCTCAGACTAGAAGATTTATTTCTATTTCTTTTTAAGCATGCTGTCAAATCARTTCTACTGTAAGCATTTAGCTGTTGTGGCTGGGAACAAGGTAGAGAGTGTGAGCTCAGGAGGGAAGGGAAGAAGTGCTGGGACTGTCTTCTGGTACAGGTGGGTCATAGAGAARAGAATTGGAGAGAGCAGTTCCCAAATCACAATTAATGCCCACCCCTGAGATCTGCTTATGAGATGTGTAACAGGAATGGGTATTTGGCCTTGTGGCACTTGTGTGTCCCTGTGCAGCACACTCTGCCTCCCTGCAGGACCATGCAGAGCAGRRTCTGCTACTGGGTTGCTGCAYTTCTGCGTGGTTTGTTGGGAAAATRRYRTGTCCCTCTGCAAGAAAAGGGCACCTCCCTGGGGAGCAAATTGGACTGTTGCATCTTCCCTGTGAGATCTTGTGGATGACTCCCATGTATCCAGCAGAAAGAGAAGAGGGAGAAGTCATGTGAACCCCTGCTAGTGTGAGATCCTCATACAAGAGATCTCCAACAGCCCAGGTTTCCTCAGATTACTCTGGTCAAATGCTAGATCTACMCATGCAGAAATATCCATTTATATGTATGTGCACAAGTGTACTCAGCCTACACAGTTCTTARCTAAAACCCACAGAGGACTAATAAGCAGCAGTATAAATGTCTTCTGTTGAAAATTAAAGTGATAAAATCTTAATTAAGTAATTTGTTGTTTTGTTCTTGCTAATCATATGGGCTTTTTTCTAGAATCAATACTTGAACATTCTGTGCAATGGAAAATAAGAGGCATAGCCTTATGTAACTGTGAATAGTTAAACAAACTAGAAATTCACACAAATTTAATAGTTTTAAGTACCTTTTGATGTAACTCTTGACTGAAGTTGCACTAGAATGGTGTATCTCATATCCATTACATTGGAACTGAACTCTTCATCTTTCTGTTTTTAGACTGTTTTGTGTTTGGTGATGTGCCAGAATAAAGTCCAGGGTAGTTACATTTTTTATCCAAAGTTCAGTGTRATATTATTCCTGTTAATAATATCCTCATGGTCATTGTTTACAAATGTATAATCCTGAGTTTAGGATTACCAGAGATTATGGGAGCACTTCTCCTGTTCCCTTTTCCAGCCCTAGCTGAGCCAAATTTCCATGCAAATATGTTGGTGGTCTTCTGAATGCCACGTTGTCAGCGCTGTTGTTTCATCCCTTCCTGTGACTGATTTACTGGTGCCTTACAGCTGTGATCCTTGGAAAGTTTTGACCAGCACTTAAAAGATGTCCTGAGGACACAGTTAGATACACTTTGTTAAAAGACCAATGAGGATGCACCTTTCCCCAGGTTGATTGGCAATGCAATTTTAAAAATTGGATTAAATTTTTAATTATTCTTGATGGATGCAAAATAAAGGCTTTCCTCTCGTTTTACTACATATAGAGGAGTTCTCGAAGTGGTAGGAGGTTCATCCTATTTTGAACAGTGAGGCACATTTTTTTTTAATCTTTGGCTGCTTTATGAGGAGAGTTAGAARCCAGAATCTGCTTTCTGATACCATGAAGAGAAGAGAAAAAGACACCCCAAATTCTGCAGTATCTTCATCTCTCTCCTCCTACATCACCATCTCTGATGGTTTTTTGATTCCTTTTTAAAAAGATTGTTTATTTTTGAATCAGGAAAAATTAGTCTTGTAATTATTATTATGTGTTTGCTAGAATGTTGAATAATCTTCATTTTCTGTTCAAGAGAATTGACAGTTGATCTGAAGACAGATTTTTTTTTCACAAATAACTGACTCATTCTTAATTTATAAACAATACAGAAATGGAAAACCTTTCCAGGCCTTTGAGTCAGAAGTAAAACCAAAATAAAAGTCTAATTTCTTTTATGCCACTCAAATATGAGGAATAAGAGTAAGCTTATSTGACATTTTTTAGGTTGCAGAAAGAAAAAGGTGTAGAGCATGTTTGACTGAAGAAACCTTCTGTTTAAAAAAAAAATAAAGTAAATCTCTTTTCAAGGAAGAAATGGTTTTGGTCTGTCACACTTCTCATAGGTTTTGTAAAGGAAGATGTATTAATGCTGTTTTCTAATTTGCTAAACTAATGTTTTCTAATTTGCTACATTTCTTCATTTATGAATCTTGTTCCCAATAAGTAAATTGTCCAGTCACCAAATTTTCCCACCACATTCTTAATCATATTTGCCAAGGAACTTAAAGTTTAGAATAGGTAAAGGWGTTGTGAGAGAATGTTAAAGGACTGGAAATCTTACAGATGCCTCCTGAAATTCATTGTAATTTTACTTGAGTTTTGGGAAGATTCTCTGTGTTCAGGGCTACAAGGGGCAACTGTAAAGGGTGAGATGCACATCCAGATACAAAGGTACATTGTCCTGGTAGCAAAGGGGGAATTTACATGGTCTTTTCCAAGATTTTGTGGCTGGTTCCACCTCTCCTTTGGTCTTTGCATGTGTTTTAAAAATTTAAAAAAAAAAAAAAAAGAAAAGAAAAACCCAACTAAATGCATCTCTGGCATAATTCAGGGGGATTTTGAAACTGAAATTGTGGAATGCATGCCTATTACAGCATCCTTTGGTTTACCAAGACCGAGAAGTGGCAGTGGTCCTTCTACCCTTTCAGTTGCTCTCAGGATGTTTACCTTTGCCTTTTGAAATTGCCAAATCCACTGATGCTAGAAATTATTTCTCTGCCATTAAGTGTAAGAAGGAAAAAGTGTGTATAAACTTACGTAAAGTAACAGACTGAGCTTATGTTTTCAAACTGCTTTGGACTTCTCCTCAAATAATTTCCATTTGTGCTCAAAGTTTCTGTGACATAATACCACAATGTTCTAAAATAAAGTAACCTTCCCAGATTAACTTTATCTGTTTCAGATAATATCCAGAGATTTTAACCTTTGAGTTTCTGAAATGAAAGTTGACTTTTTGCCTGACGTAATTTTGTGTGAAATGATTTCTTCATCCTTAGGTACATTTCTGTTCGGAAAACTTGGAAAATACTTGGTAGGGAAACTTTATTCATAATTTTTGCTTTTATTTTGTGATTTTATCTATACTGAGCAGTATGTTAAAAAATGTTTATCTGAATTGGAGACAACTACCTGAGATTAAAAACCACTTTCTGATATGAAGGTGTTTTAATATCCAGTGATTTGCTATGCAGGGCAGAAAGGAATCAGATAACATTGTTCAAAAAGTATGGCAGCTGCTGCAGTGTAATTAAACTGAAGGTTACTTAGGCACAAGGTGAGAATATTGGATTTCTGCCTGGGTGAGGTTTCTAATGGCTGCTCATTGTAGTGACTATGCAGACCAAGCAGGTATCCCCATGACTGCCCCCAAGTTCAAGGGCGTGGGGATATGCAGATGTGGACAGATGTGCCATTGCTGCTGGGTGAGCCCTTGCCAGCCACTGGAAAGATGGGCCTCCATGATATGACTGGAAACTTCTGATGGGAGGCTTCTGCTTGTATGGGCTGGGAATGTGGATAACAGAAAGGGAAGAAGAAAAAGGTTTGAATTAGACAAAATCATGCCTGTCAATGGTTTAAGCCCCCTGTCTGCAGTATAAGTGACMACCATTAGGTTCAGGCCTCAGCTGCACCCTGGACTTTGTTCTTCTCTCACTTACACTCGTGTTCCATTCCAGATTTAAAGCTCATTTGCCATCTTCCCCAGAAGTGGGTGTGAGATTTTCTGTTGAATTTGGTGGGAGCTATGGTTAAATAGCAATTACTTGTTCTTACCTCTCCCATAGGCTTTTCATAGATATCTTCTTGCCATTGCTCAGCCTTTGTTTGAATAGCATCTCGCTGCAGTGCCTCTAACACTTTCTTGGGAGTAACAAAGCCGTATTGTGCTTCAAGCAAAGCTAAGTCAATTTTTTCAGCCTTAAGTACTCCTATAACTTCATCTTGAGCCTGCAGAAAGACAAAGTAAGGCTTCATCTTGTTAAACTGTATATATGTGTTTACAGGTTAGCTCTCTGCTTTGGAATCTAAGAAAATTTAAAAAAAAAACTTTTAAAATACTGCTGTATATGTAAATATAAATACATAATAYATATGTAAATATGTAAAGTATTCCGAAATAGTCAGTAATGTCAGGGCCATTGAAAAGCATGAGGGAAGTATTGGTCTTTGTATTTCATTAGTTCAGCATAAGCTCCAAAATCTTCTGACCCTTCATCAAAGCTTGAGTACTTCTTTAATGATTGRATCACATTGCTGTTTCTGGACCAGTGTGTAGCACTCAAAAAACAAAATTTCAGGGAAAAGTTTGACTTGTAGTATTAGAAATTGACTTTAAATTGTTAGTGCAGGATAGCTGGATGCTTCCTGAAGCCTGAAAGTGTTGTACATTCTGTATATTTTGGGTGCAGATGGYTTCTGTMGTTTAAACCCACAACAGATGTGTCYGTCTCTGGGGTTTTTTACCCCCACCCTGCATCGTCTGGTGGTGGAGGTTGCCCCCATCTCCACTGAAGTGAGCTTAACTACATGAATTGTCTCAAACATCCATTGTCTGCAATGATCTCAGGTAAAAATATGTGCTAAGCCTAGAAGAGTAGAATAGGAAAGAAGGAAATCAGAAAGAAGGATGTRTCAGCAGAGGATAACACTTTCAGTCTGACTCCTTTTGGCTAGAAGACTTCTATATCCCTATTTATKACTATTTAAACAAATTTTAAAATATGAAATAGTCTAGTTCTAATTCTTAGTGTTGCAGGAAAAAAAATACCAGAGTGATTTTCATGCATCTTGAATGTTCTAGAATTTGGAAAGGAATGACATCTAAATTCAAAACTTAGTTATGGTTGGATTGACACCTGATCTTCAGTGATTTGACCTGGCATTACAGGAGGTAGAAAATAAGGGATAAAAATGACTTTTCATAGTTTTCATTCATAATGCTGCTTCTTTTGGAATTTGATTTAAAATGTTAATGTCAGGCTCATTGTTTTCCAGTTTCTCATTTCAATCTCTTCCAGTTTTAAATCTTAATAATTGAAGTGTGTATGTATATATATACTATTGTATTTATATGAAGCAAGTGTGATGAAGAGTGTGTGTATAATATAAATAAATCTATAAATATATATTTTAAGAACTCTCTTATTGAGAGGAAGAGAGAACTGTTTTGGAAGAGTGTGTGACATCTGAATTTTAGCCTAAATTAAGAAAGGCCAAGTGGGCAGGAGAGAAATGTTTTGCAAACATGGAAAGTGTTATCTTTGCATAATGAAACAATCTGTAGAAGTTTGCTTTGGATCCACCATCTAAGATTGGTGCAGCTATTAAATATTCATATCACGTGTGTGTTCTGTCAAGCATGCCTTTATTATTATGTAAACATCTATGCATATGTTAAGAACAGAACTACCCAGGTAGTRTGTAGGTAATGAATTCTGAAACCATGTGCTACACCCATTAGGCCACTTTTGCCAGTTTGCTTTTTCCTCTGCCTGGGACCAGTTTTAAAGGCACTGCTTCTGTGCAATAAGCCTGCCACAGAAATATTTTCCTGCTCACTGGAAATCTGGTTCYCACTTCCTGAAATTACGTTTSACCAAGTTAGGCATCATTTACCACWTGACAGATGGTTCCTTTTCTAGGTAGAAAAATGCTCACTTTTCAAAATCCAGTAATTTGTGGGCTAAGTGGCATGTAACACTTTTGCTTCTTATTATGGGAAATAAAATGGCTATTTTGATTTTTCTARGAAAAGGTGTTAGAATACTGTTGAGTAAGTTACTTCTTGTGGACTGGCACTGTTTCATAGGGAGTAAAGCTCATGACTTCATAGGAGAGAGAGGATAAGAAATAATTAAGTAAAAGGTCTTAAAGGTCTGTAACATGTTCTCCATATCATCTTTACAGTGACAAATATTTTGTATTCAAAATACTTAGAATGGGGCAGCACAACTAGAAGGTTCAGTGAATTCTCTGCTTTGAGAGTTACTTGTGGAATAAAGATCATGCTTCCTGTTTGATAGCTCTAATAGCTATAATTTTGGGGTGCTTTTGTATTTTGCAGTTCATATTTGGCCTATATCAGACTAGTTAAGGTGTCTCCTTAACATAAAAGCAGCATGTGTTTGTGGCAGATGGAAGAATGGGGGGTGGAAGGTGGAGTGTCTTTTAATTTGGAATATAAAATAGGACAATGCCTTACCTGTAATTCACCCTCAAGGACACTAAGAAGAAACAGCAAGTCATCACGAGAGAGATCCTGCCTTTTCTTGACAGAAGTTTTTTGTTTTTTCTCTKCCTTTGGGCTTCTCAGGATTGTACTGGCTTGGGCTGCGTCGTCCTTCTCTTTCTGCTGTGTTGGTGCATTTCCTCTCCCATTGTAACCAGCCTCTTCTTTGTGATGGTCTTYCGACCTTGGCTGGCTCAGCTTTGGTCTGGTTGGGCTTTCGGTGCTGTTACTTCTGGAATGCATGGTTTATGTCTCTGAAGCTGAAGGACATTGGGGAGAAAAGTAATTATTTTAGCTAACAGAGACAAAACTAGATAAAACTATTACTGTAATGGATGGTGGGTAATTTTCTCTCGTACACCAGGCTGGTTGTTATCTGACAACCAGCTGCCAACCTATTGTAAACCAACAGGACTGGCTGTGACCCTTACTGGATGTGAAGTGAATCTTTATTGGTCTTAGGCCATTGTAACAATGTCCTCCTTGATACTTCAAAGGCAGCATCTTTAGCAGCAGTGCTGGGTGCATCATTGCAAACCACATTTGGGAGACAAAGCCTACCTTACCTTTCAGCAGATACTTATTATGATGAGGCAAATTTAGATTCAGAAGCTTTTCACTAGAAAAACCTTTCTGTTCCACTTCAATAGTATCCCAGCCCTTACTATATTCTGTTTTTTTTGTCTTTCCAAGGGAGAGCACAAAAGCAGCTCTCCACTAGTGTGAGCCGTGCATTATCCATGTGTGGCAAAATGCAGGGACTACAAGCACATCCAGACTCCCAGGAAGGAGCAGCCCTGTAAATGCTCCTGCCAAACACCACCACCACCAAAACCAAACTGCCTTGGGGATCATGACTGGTCCACCTCCTGAAACCATGCCCTATGAAACCTTCCTACTTCTTTAGTGCTAGGGAGTGCAGCTCTCTAGAGGTGTTAGTACCTGGTAAAAGGGAGATTTATCCTCACTAGGCCCCTTTGAACTGCCACAGTGAAGGAAATGTACTCTAATGCCTTTGCAGATAAATGACTAATGCTGTGTAAATATTGATTAACCTCAGGAACTCGTGTTTTGGTTATCGCCACTCAGATTAAGGAATGAATGGATTRTAGTCCACCTCTGCTGGAAAATTGTGCTCATGGATACCATTTAGCAAACAATAGCCCAGTCATGTGATTCAATGGTGAAATTCAGCATATTCCAAATACAAATAAGGCACAATTTTTATTATTAAACTGCCAGGCTTATTGCTGAAAAGTCCAGAAAATTGTTATGGTCAATGACAGGCTCTAGATGAATTCTTGGCTGCTTTTTGGCCTGACAATTGTGCAGCTGATAAAATTCTTTCAGAGCCTCCTCYCCCACTCCCTTCAACCAGATTCTGACTCTAAATCTTAAACTCTGTGCCTGCACTCMTTAACTGTGGTAACTTTCCACTGAATGCTAAGAACACTTCCTTTTGTTGTTTTTCTGCAGGCACWGAGGAGGTGGAAGTAGCTTTTGGGTTGTAATGGATGATGACTGAGAGTGGGCTAAATTTATCAAAAATATTAGAAAATAAGCAAGTGACATTTTCTATAATGCTGAAGTCTTCTACTTTGATTTGAAGCACTCATAATAGCTTGTAATTAATAAGAAAAACTTGTTTCTCCAGGTCCCAAAAAACTAAGGCATGTCAGATTTGCATGGCAGTGTGCACTGGAAACTGTTTTGTGAAACATCAACCATGTCAGGTTAGGATGGGAGCTTATGTAGGAAACCAGGAATTGTTCATAGCAGGCTGGCAGYGATGTTAGCTGGTGATGGTTGGTTTAAGTTGGTGTTAATCCTGTTCATCCTGGTCTTTCCCTCAAATGTAGTCCGTCTTTATTCACTGTGGTTTGCCTGTTAGGATACTCATCTTTTGCTCCTTGTCTATGGAGTATTATTCATTGGGAAGAAAGCTGTTGTGTCCTTTGAATATAAGATTCTGAATTCCTGCTTGGCTTCTGTATACAATTAAAGGCTTGTAAGATCAAATGCAGGAGCTGTGAGATAAATCAGGTAACCTGAATGTCCTCTGGTCTTTTTTTGTGCTCTTTGACACCACAAGCACAGGACACTAAGAAATGCATGAATAGTCCAAGAAATCCTTGTGTTTTCTCCCTCATGCATGCCAGTTACAGCAGTGGCCTTGACTGACATGAAGCTATTGTCAAACTTGGTGACAACAAATGTCAATTTGACATTTCTTCTGGAAAGAAAGAGAAACCAGCATGTAAGGGGGAGTTTAATACCTTTTCAAGCTTTTGTAATTGGGTGCACCTGGAAATCCTGAGCTTGGAAAGACAGTCCAAGAAGGACATCCTCCCCTGCATTTACTCTTGCACTCTGTGCATGCTGTTGGCTTCAAGGCCACATGCCACCCAGTTTTCATATCTGCAGAGAGTTACCTGTGACTCCCTTGTCGTGCCTGCTTCCTAATCAGGTAGAGCAGGAATTACTGCACTGCCAAAAGGCACATGGTCCCTTGTGAAGGCCAGCTGACTTGCCAGATAGGCTGTGTTCCTATGGGAGATGGGCAGCCTCCCAGAGTGGAGTTTTCTCCTTTTCTTGTTGAGTTGTTATGTGCACTTTACCTATATTCTGTTCTGACATTCCTGAATGCCAGTGCCTGCTATCGAAGCTGCTAATGCAAATATKTATCAAATTAAGCAATTAATATGAATTATTAGAGGTTGAGGTGACACACAAAATGTACACTTTTTTAATGGTACTTAAATATAGATGACRAGAGGCTCAAGCACTCTGGTATTAGTAGCCTGCTTTATTAACATATTATTTCTCAGCTGATTTGTTTAARCTTTCTTGCTACCTGTACACTACTAGGCATTATTATTTGTAGTTATTTCTGTCTACAGAAGGATGTTAGTGCTAATGTGGTTGTCAGAGAGGTGRGTATGAGAAACAGAAGAGCAATTTAAAATCTCAAATGCACAGTGTAATTGCTGGTGTAGCAAGCACAGTGGGACCTCAGAAATGGACAGAAACAAACATCCCATCCACSTACCCTGAAACTCCTCACCACCTGTCAGACTCCCCAGATGTGCCACTGTCTAAGGGACTCATGTTCAAAGTGCCCCTGACATTTTGGACAGAACATCAGCTACTCTGTCATGCCCTTGCACCATGGCAGAAAACAGAAAATGTGCCTGTTCTATTCCCKAGGGTGCTGGTTTTGTGCAATGCTATCAGACTCTTGAATGTCTCATTACAGTCGTTTCAGACAGAAGTGGCACCATTTGAAATTTCCCGCCTGTGTGTTTTGGTATGTTGRGTTATTTACTGTTTTGAGCAACTCTTTCCATGTTCTTGAAGGTTGACGAAAAGCAATGTTTTATTTTGTTGGGTTTTTTCCACAAGGTTAAAATGTTAGTAGGCTCAAAATTTCTATCAGTTTTTCCTTCACCCAAAACAGTGAGCCCAGGTTCTCAAGATTAGACTAATGAGTGTAAATTTGCCTTTTTGCRTATCTGTCTCAACCTGTTTTTATTTACATTCTGTAATGACAGGATGTGTGCACAAGAAAGCTGTCTCACAAAAGAGAGGTAAGGAAGAAGTGTTTCTTCTTGTAACAGAGTTTGTAGTTCACAGAGGCTCTGTGATTTCTCCTGGAGAGTGAGTGACTCTTGCATCTTGTGGCAAACTTCTTTATAGAAGCTAATTTAAGCACTCCTTTTTTGTACTACCAAGAAAGATGACAATATAATATGCTTTAGAACACAGTAAACAACAACTGCTAAAGGTATTTTGATTGTGTTTGTGCTCCTTGCACTTGTGATCTTTCATCTGTTTTGGATCAATTACTAAGTAGCAGGGATTGTAGCTATGTGAACAAGGATACTTGCCAGCATTCTCATGTGATGCAYTACGTATCATTGCTTGCATCAGAAATAAAAGAAGATTGAAAGGGAGCATCCAGATCATGAAGTCACATCTCCTGAAATCATAGACCACCATGCTGTGGGTACTTTATAGAGGTTAATTTTCCATAATGGTGTTAATGGAATAGCACAAGACCTGTGTTCTGCCCCATTGTGCTTTCCTTCACATTGTGGGATGCCTGTTTTACAGAAGGCTTTGCACTGGTATCTTGCTTGAAGTCACAATGTGATGGTTCCCAAACTCATCAGATTCTGTGCAGTTTGGTGGGCTGGGTCTGGAATAAGAGGAGTGAGATTGGGTTGCATTGAGACACTCTGGTAAATCAAATATTGCAAGTAACATACTCAGCAAAGTTTGGATCTGTTCTTGGTGTTCATGTTCKTATTCTTTTTATAGTTTGTTTCCTGTTCTGTTTTTTAAAGACTTTGCTGATCTCTGAWCTGTATGCTGTTTTTCTGTACATAAAGGAAGTATTTTCCTCTTCTTRGTGATGAGCAAGTAATCTGAAGGGTCAAAATACACTTTCCTGAAGAGCCAGATGAATAAATGACCAAAATGTTTCCATGATGTTAACTTGGTCTCCACTTTCTCAGTCATATTCTGAAGGAGATGAAACTGCATTTGTCTCTTTGGCAGCAGTGAATTAGCAGGTGGCTCCAAAATCCCTGGACTTTTATGGGAAACACTGAAATATCCTTCGGAGATGGCTTCATCTTAAGAGTTCTAAGAGATATTTTGCCATGTATTTTCCCCTTTAGTGTGATCCATTTTAATCAGTGATTGACTTATGAGCTAGCAAAGGCCCTCACAGGACCACATATTCCTTTAATCCCAGGGTAATGAYCATGAATTGTCAAGAACCTGCAGCTTCTTCCAAAAATCTGTGACTAAGCAAGGAATTATGTCTCTGGTTTTTAGCATCCCTTAAAGGGCAGTGCTTTTGATTTCTGAAATTGATAGGACTCCTACCAACAGACTGACTTTTAAGAGGAGTTGATATCTGATTGCTTGGCATACCAATGTAATAGGAGAGTGCAAAGTGGATGATCTCTTTTGGGAAGAGGTCTGCAGTCCTCTGCCCATCCCTGTGACGGTTGATTGGGGCAAGGAAAAAAGGGGTCCCACCTTACTTGCTACAGATATACAGGCTATCTTTTATTCTTTCCTTGTATACCAAAAGCTAYTTTGAAGCATCATGTTCAGCTTAGTGCCACATATAGATGGCTAGGAAGAAATTAAGCTCCATGTTCTCCTAGTGTGGCTGTGTGCTGGCTGGTGCCCAGACATGGGAAGGTGCTTTTGGYTAGGCCATATCACAT